CGTCTTCTGAGAAACGCAGCAGCTGAGTACAAATCACATTCTGGTGCATTAACTTCCATTACACCGAAATTCTCAGTTTTAACACAAAGATTTCTGGGCAAATGCTATTAAGTACAACAAACAGAGAGCACAAGAGAATGTGATCAGTGTCATAAGGCTTATGTAATCCAAGCACATAATCAGATGTCTCCAAAATTTGTCCAGCCTTTTATTAAAACCCCCACAGAACAGAGTGATGGAGGAAATGTTTTGGAATTAGAGACAGGGTTCGCAAGGGTGTGAATACTGTCACAGAAAGATCTGCTGTAGAAAGATTTATTATGTGGTTATATTGAAAAATTATATAATATATGCCATATTATATATAATATAGTGTATTTTATAGTGAGAATTACTGTTATTGTTACACTGAAATTCACTCGTTACATTGTGCGAATGTTTTGTGTGAATTTCATGACAACTAAGAAAACACTAATAACTTCTAATAGTGAAAGTTTGGCAATCTAATCCCTCACCACTTCCCCCTCCCAAGCCCACCTTCACCTACCACTTGAACAGTCCTTTGAGGCTTTTCTACTAATCACTGCTGGGATTTTCCTTTAACTCACGCTCCACCCCCCAGCCCTGACTAACCCCCGCCCCCCAGACCACGGACACGGTCCCTCAGCTTCATTCTCCAAAACACAGCCCAGAATAGACACAAAGGAGTCCCACAGACTTGAACTGAACCAAGGAGATTTTAAGATTTTAATATGATGAAGACAGCCTTAAGTGGATATAAGATGCATCATTGATTTAACAACTCCTTGGAGAAAGAGAAACACTTGATTAAGTAGCTACCAAAATTTCATATTGCTTACAGTAGCACCCATGTACCCCCAAATCCCATTCTCCTCTCTTCAGTCAAAATGCCTCTAAGCCTTTGTTGTTGTGTGACTTTAAAGGCTGTCTGCCATTTGCATCAGTACAGAGCCCTGCAAAATAATGCTGCTATTTGTAATTCTGCGTGGGACCCTGACCTTTTGGGGTCTTTGGGGTAAATAATGTAATTCTGAAGTTTACCTAAGAACATGGAGCTTCTGCATGCATTTCCTGTCTCATTAAACTTACAGTGGTTTTTGTTAGGGCAGGGAGAAAGGCACCCCTGAACCCCCCAAACCTGCCTACTCTAAATAGGTTCTGCCATCTGCCGCATTAAGACAAAACACATAAGACTTTAATGAAAAGGAACTTTAATACAGTGAGTCTACAACACGGGAGACAAAGAATATAATGTCTAAATCAAACACCTGAAGTCACCCATCCCCTCGTGGGCAAAAGTCAACCCAAAAGGGATTGACCCAAAGCAAGGCCCGAAAGCTGCCACAAGCCTGAAGCACCTTCTGGCCGGGACCCACAGAAAAGCGTCAGACATGGCCAGACAAGTCTGGGAGGAAAAGAGCAAAATCATAATGAATATAAACGTTGCCATAGTCAACCTCCCCATGGGTCTCTCACCCACATGGCTTTCAACCAGTCCAGGGCCAGGAAGCAAGCACGGTTTCTTCCTCACTTGCTTGCCGCTCCACATGGCTTCCTCAGGCCTCCTTCTGGCTCTCCATCCTGCTTCTTTCTTCAGATTCTTTCTCTTTTCTTTTCTCTGCTCAGCTCCCCCCTCCTTCTGGGTGGGGCCGGGAACCTGGAACTTCCCCTTTTTCCTGGGACCCCCGTTACAGTTTCTCATTCTAAAGCCTAGTGCGGGTTCCCAGGGCCCACCAGGCAGGGTGAATAATTTCTCTCATCTTGCCAAGGACTTTCCAAAAGAAAACAAACAAACAAACAAACCAAAAAAAAACCCAAGCAGATTCAAACTTTTGTTGTTTTTTTTTCCCCCTGCAGAGAGAGTGCCCTTTTCTTTCTGCATATATGTGTGAACATGTATTCATTAGAGCTCACTGTTGTTGAACTGAAAGCAGAACTCAAGGTTGGCAGGATTCACTCTATGAAAACAGACACTGTTTTCCCCATATTTCTTTAAAAAAAAAAAAAAGGAATTTCTTCCATAAATGATTAAAAGGCATGGCATATTTCAGAAGGAAGGCCTTTTCTTCCCTCCTGAATTTTTCCAAGTCACATAATTTTTTTTAAAAAGGGGGAGAGGTTCTCCTGCATTTGTGAACAATCCTTGTAAATCCTTGGCAACAGCGATCAGCTGGGATTGCCATCCTTGCTTCAGAGTAAAGCAATCAGAGCCCCAAATGTCAAAACCTATGGACGTGGACAGGAGTGTGAGGGGTTCAGAAGGTGTGCACCCACAGGGGCTGAACTAGGCTGAGAAAATAATTTCATACCCTAATCTAATTCACTGAGAGGTTAATATGGATGAATTGGAAGTAACTAAAATACCATTCGGAAGAACCACAACCCAGAAATTACCGTCCTGTTTTGTCTCTGTCCCCTTATTTAATACCCTCAAGATCAGAGCTTAGGGAAGCTGCCCTCCTGCCAAAGCATGGCATCCCGGATGTGCACATATCCAGATGTGCACATATCCAGATGTGCTCCTTACCCCGATGTGCCTATATCCATTCTAGCCAGGAGAGTCAGTGAACCCATCCTACCATGCCAGGGAAGGCAGCGTCCTGATGGTTATGAGCCAGCGTTTGGGCATGTTCCCATAGAACGTAAATGTAGTTGTGTTTTCTGACCCTCAGAGACCTGATCTGTGAAAGGGGAGCATCCCACATACCCCTTAGGGTTCTTCAG